ACCTGTGCCCCACACTGCTCAGGCTTCCTGCGTTGCTTTCCGCATGGCCCCTGCCCCCAGGCCAGGTGATGGGAGCAGCCTGTGCGTCACAACTCCGCTGTCGGAAAATGTCAGCCAAGGGGCTGTCCCGGGGCTGTCACAGGGCCAGGCTGGGTGCTGGTGATGAGCTCAAGGTTAATCCCCACCCCTAACCCGTCTACCAAACACCCTGTGAGGCCAAGGACACAGCACCAGCACCTTGGGGCCTCCTGTCCTCAACTAAAGCACAGGACTTAGAGCCTCTGTCATTCCTGTCTTGCCAGGTTGCCATGGAGTCATCTAGAGACACTGACTATGTACATGCTTTAAAGTCTGTGACAAGCTGGGCCTCTGTGACTGCTATGTTCTCGCTGTGTGACCTTGGGCAAGAGCCTGAACCTCTCTGAGCAGTAGACTCCTCTGTAAAGCAGGTTGAGAAGAGTAACTTCCTGGGACGTTATCGCAAGGATGAAGGGAGTTAACGCAGTGTTTAGGACAGAGGCTAAGGCATCAAAGTGCCCAGTAAACGCAGCTGTTTAGGACACCCAGAGGCCTCCCCTGTGGATGTTCCACTGCTGTCTTCACAGGTCCTTGTCCCCACAGCTGGTCTCCCCCCGCCCCACCCCACACACTGCCTGTGATAAAATCCCAAGGATCTGAATACCAAGGAAAATGAATCTGTTGTAGTCCCTGCTCTCAGCCCCATCCCTCAACGCCAGCCTCCAACTCTAGAAGTGAAACACAGTCCCAGCCCCATGTCACATTCTGATGGAGCCTGAACCACAGATCATCAGGGAGGGCTAGAAGAGCACCCAGAAACCACCCAGTCCAGCACCCCAACTCACTGGAGGCCCAGGAACAGATGGCAACTTATGTATAATCACGGCGAGAACCGGGAGTCCAGTCCTTATCCTGAACACAACCAGAGGCTAAGCAAGGCATGGTGTGGTCACCTGTGGCCCTTAGGGCGAGACCACCCTGAGCTGAGCATGGTGACCACACCTATAGTCCCAGAAACTCAGAAAGATGAGATGCGGAGGACTGAAAGTTTGAAGCCAACCTGGACAGCTTAGCTAGACTCTGTTTCAAAGTAAAAGTTTCTGGGTGGTTCACTCCTGTAATTCCGTCTACATGGGAAGCTGATATCAGGAGGATCATGCTTTGAGGCCAGTCAGAGCAAATAGTTCACAAGACTCCACTCCAAAATAACCAGAGCAAACGGACTGGAGGCATGGCTCAAGTAGAGTGCTTGCTTTGCAAGTGCAAAGCCCTGAGTTCAAATCCCATTCCCACCCTCCCACTCATTAGTCAAGCAATAAACAAAATTTTTAAAAGGCTGGGGTGTAGCCCAGTGGTAGACCATTCAACTAGCACATGTGAGGCCCTGAGTTCAATCTGCAGAGGTGTTAAAAATAAAAAACAAACAAAATCCTAGTAGGGCCCAGAGGGCCAAGGAACTTAGGACAGAATCTCACTAGCTTTCAGCCATTCTGAAATCCTGTCCTGCATGAGTTTCCAGTTGCAAAGGGCCAGAGCTCTGGAGCCCGATGCATCCCAGTTTGAACCCTGGCTCTACCAACCTTCACCTGTGTGTCTGGATCACCTGAGCCTCAGGTTCCTCAAAAAAATCGCCTCTCAGCTTCATTTTCAAGTGAGGAGAGACCATGCTTGGGAAGCACCTGGCATTTATGTCTGAAACATAAATGTTAGCCCTCTTGCTCCTTTTAAATGTGCTTCTTTTGCTTGTTTGTTTTTGTTTTTGAGATAGGTTCTTGCTATGTTGCTCAGGCTGCCCTCAAACTCTCATACTCTTACCTCAGTATCCTCAGTGCTGGGATTACAGGTGTGTACCACCACACCTGGCTTAAGTGTTCTTCTTGATTGTTTCGGTTTTGCTTTTGCATTGCTGGTTCTTTTTTGATTTCCCAGTTAGCTGGGATATCCACAATGAGGAAGGCAGGGGTGGGTTATGCATCTTAGATTTGGACCTACTATTTCACTGGGGAAGTAGTAAACATTTGCTTGGGAACTGGAAATTGCTTGGAGTGGGAGCTGGGAGGTGGTGGGAGAGCAGAGATTGAGGGGTGGGGGACTGGGAGGTGAAGAAGCAAAACCAACTCAACGAAAAGGAAATGTGAGAGGCTGGAAACCCTCCTACCTCTGCTCCCTTTTCTCAGAGTTCCCAGATCTGGCTGGCTGCCTCCTGCCTCCCACTGTGCACCTGCTGGTTCTTGAGGTCTCCAGGGCCTGGTCCCCAGCTGCCTCAGCAACTCTTGCCTGCAATCTGACCCAGGTGAGCCTGTTTCCCCTTCACTCCTCCTACCTCTGCCAGTTGCTCCCTCCTGCACTCTCTCCAGAGCTTCGTGCTCCAATCCCCACTGGGCATGACACACAGGGACTGCTGGCCCATCAGTCCATCTCCACCTGGTGTACGGTGCCCCTTCTACACTCAGCGCCATCTCAAGTCTCTCACCTGACATGGGGGACATCTGGGCCCCCAGGCTTGCCTGCACATTGACACTTCTTGGCATTCCAGTCTGCACTGTCTCCACTTCCACTTTCCCTGTCTGCCCCCCCCTCCCCCCGCCCCGGAGACAAAGAAGAGCTCCTTTTGTGGAAGGAACCAGAGAGGTTATGTGGCCCAGAAATATCACCAGGTGCCAACTCCTGTCAATTGGGGGCTGCCTCTGGCACAGTATTGAAGAATTTAAGGCTGCATCCAGGCTCCACAGAAAAGAAAGCCATGACAATTAACAATGACTGTCGTACATGGGTGTGATCCATTACCAATGTCTTCCTCACGTGCAGCTTTACCAATCCCACATTTGCCTTCTGGGATCTGTTCCACTTTTTTCTTTTTTCAGGACACTGAAAAAATACAGATAGATGGATGGGCGGGTGGATGGATGAATGGATGGGTGGGTGGATGAATGGAAAGCTAGCTAGCTAGCTAGCTAGCTAGATAAATAGATAGATAGAGCGAGCAGAGTATTTCCCCAAGCCTAGACCTGTGAGGCCTCATTCTTCTGTTGGTGAAAACCATACTCCCATCACAATCTTTTTTCTCTCTCTGAAGGAGGAAGTTTCACTAGGGTCTCTAACAACTTCCCCACATCCCTCTAGACTAAGAGATGGCAGATTTCCGTCAGGTAATGAGTTTAAACAATATTTTGTTTTCCTTTTTTTTTTTGGCAGTACTGGGGTTTGAGCTCAGAGCTTCGCACTTGCTAAGCAGGTGCTCTACCACTTGAGCCATGTCTCCTGACGTTTTATTTTTATGTGGTGCCTGGGATGGGACCAGGGCTTGTAACGTGCAAGTGCTCACCACTGAGCTACACGCCCAGCTGGAAGTTAAACATTATTTTGTTTTATTGAACTTGCTTTCCATGGTTACCTTTTATTTATGGTAAAATTCAGTTTTCTATTAATAAAAGCACTAGGAAGATTTTTCTTTAAGTAAATATATTTAACCAAAAAAGTGAATTGGTTTAAAGAAAAAAATAAAATCACAAAGCTGGCACTCAGAGATCATTAAAAGAGATAAATAACATAAATGATCAGAACTTGAGACGTGTAACCCTTCCAGAACTCTTCAGGACACTGGAGGCAAATACTATGTCCATTTTAGGGACACGGAAACTGAATGCAGAGGTTTGGTGGCTTGGCCCAGGATATACAGCAGAGTGTAGACAAAGAGGTCCCCTGTGACCCAAAGGCCTGGACTAAGGAGCCCTTGTGATCAGGGACACACAGGTATGAGGTGAGACTGTAGGTAAATTAACTCTTTCCACAGTAACAACCCAAGACTCACAGGACTTCAAGGAAAGAAAGTTTATTTTTGGACATAAACAGGAATCCTGACCAGTGGCCAGAAGGCCCCTGTAGGCAGTGGGAGTTTCTATACCAGGATCCCCACCCCTCCTCTCCTCCCTGCTCTGCCAGGGTGGTCCAGGAGGACCCAGTCCCAGAGCCCCCTCCATCTGTGCATGCAAATGAGGGAGACTGAGATAATCTGATTGGTTATAGGAGGCCCAGCCTCCGTGATTGGACAGAGCTTCTATGCCAAGCCACCTCATAAGCTGCTAGTCGTATGGTCAGGTACCCAATCGGCTGTGAGTAGGACCTATAAATTCAGACACTGCAGTGTGTACCAGCAGCCTTTCTGTGCACCTGAGGTGCAAGGCTGTGGTTACCATAGTCAGTCGTGGAGAGCATCAGAGAGGTGGCAAGACCTGGGGAGGGAGCTTTTTGGGAGGGGAGGACTGCCATAGGACAGATGAGCCTCATGCTGGGGCTGGCATGCAGCAGCCTAGTGGGCAGGACCTATGAATAAAGACCACCTGCCCAAGAGCCCAGGCCAGGTGGTGCCAGGAGATGCCTCATTAATTCACCCAGAGAATGTGGTGGGTGCTAGGCACGGGTGCCAAGCATAGTGAAAAAGCATCCTTCTGGATGCCAGTGTGTCAGCCCTGGGTTGCAGAGCACAGCCCTCCACTGCAATGAGGCATGATCCCCTTTGACAGCCTCAGGACAGGCCACAGTGGGGCTGCTGCCTGGGCCACTTGGATCTGGGTTTACATCCCACAGGCTCCCTCATGAGTCTGTGAGGCCACTGTGAGATCCAGCAGCAGCCACTTCAAGGGATGTTTTTTTCTTTTTCTTTTTCTTTAATTGGTATATCATAGTTGTACAGGGGATACATTGTGATATTTGCATATGTGCTTACAATCTATCTTAACTAGATTCACCCCCTCCATCTTTCTCCTTCATTCCCCTCCCTCCCTTCTTAGAACAATATCAACAGTTTTCATTCTATTTTCATACATGAATACATCTGCCGTATTCACCCTCCTTCACCCTGTCCTGTGCCCTCCCCCCTCCCACTGATTCCCACCCCTGGACAGGAACTGCTTTCACTTCCTGTCCTTCATTTGGGTAAAGAACATTTTTTGTTAATATATGACAGTTATACAGGGGTTTCATTGTGACATTTCCATATGTACATATATTATGCCACAGTTTGGTTCATCCCTCCATTATTCTCCCTCCTCCCCCGTTCTCCTTCTTAAGGTGACTTTGACTGGTCTCAATGCTCCATATTCATTCTTGTGCAGAAAGTACACATTTGCCCTGCCCCCCTTGCTAGCGCCCTCCCCTTAACACGACCCATTTTAGATTCCTAGCCTTCGTCGTTTAGGAGTCTGTTCATTTCTCCGTGGGGATTTTGCCTTGGTATTTTACCTATAAATATATCGTGCTTAAAAATATGGACCACTTCACGAATTTGCATGTCATTCTTGCACAGGGACCATTTTCCTCTTCTCTGGATTTCTGTATCGTTTCAGTTTTAGTATATGTGCTGCCGAAGCGAGCCGTCTTCAGAGGATTTGTGTCCACACTTGAGCCAAGAATTCTGAAGTCAGGAGCCACTGGGGGAGAAGTGACAGGACCTCTTTCTCCAGCTGCCCTGGAGAGACTTCTCCAGACTGAATCTGCAAATTTGGGCACTTTAAGGAGGCAGCCTTTCCCTCCAGGGGTGCCAAACTGACATACAAGGGAGACTTGTCACAGAGAGGCACAGGGTATGACACATGCAAAAGCTCTGGGCAGGCTCAGTAAGTAGTAGCCTTGTGAGGGTTCCACAGGGGATGTCCTCACGTGATGCTGGAGGGGCAGGTGCCAGGTCAGGAAGTGGTGCTAAGGGTAGTAGGGAGCCATGGCCGGGTTTTCAGCAGAGGAGGAGCGTGGCCATGTTGAGTTTGGAGTGCATGCACTAGATGCCTTGTGAAGGTGGGTGGGAGAGGGTGAAACTGAAGCAGGAAGTCCAGTGAGGAGGGCAAAGTGAAGGCCCCTAGAGAGCCATGGTGACTGATGCTGGCTCACATCTTCAGGTGGGAAAGGAGTCATGTTTCAGAGACAAAATTCACAGGACTCCATGATTAAACCTCCCCCTGCCCAGCCCCAGCTCCTGGTGTGGGCTGTGGGGCCAAGAAGCAACAAGTGATCTTTAACAGTGCGGGGCTGAGTGGGTAGGACTGGGTGGGGGGCCATCTGGGTGGAGACGACCAGAGGCAGCTGTCACAGAGTTTCCCCAGCTGTGAACCGTCCTCAAGGATGGAGGCCTCAACAGGTCCTCCTCAGGACTGGTGCTTCAGCCAGCAGCCACCTGCTTCACACCCCTGGCCACCTGTCTACACCAGGTGAGCTGGGTCCTGAGCCTGGAGTTCTTGGAGGGACAGATAGACATCAGTGTTCAGAGCTCGGCCAGAGGTAGGGACCCTGCCTTGGCCCTGCCCAGGAGGGTTGGTCCCAGGGGGACCAGCCCCCTCCCCAGGGTGGGGAACAGGAACCTCTGCCCCAGCCTCTCCCAACAGTAGCTCCACAGGCGACTGCAAACCCAACAGGCCAGGGACTGCAGGGGCAGGAGGCCCCAGAGGCTGGGGGCCCCAGTCTCGGGGGCATCCCTCCTGCAGGGCAGAGGGCAGCCTCTCTTCATGGGCCCCACTACACCCAAGGGCAGTGTGTGGAGGACTTGAGCCACCAACGAGACTGGGAGAGAAAAGCAGCAGGTCGTCCCCAGGGGGGAAGGTGCAGTAGGCATCATATTCTCCAGACCCAGGCAACAGGGATGGGAGGGGAGACCCCGTAGGCAGCCTGGGCACACCCTCCTCAGGCTCCTCCTCTGCACAGGGGTCATAGGTGAAGTACACCTGGCAGGCCTCGATCTCCAAGGCATCTGGGAGGTGGAAGAAAAAGTAGCCCTGGTTGGTGAAGCAGCTGGTCTGGGAGTAGCTGCTGGGCGAGGGTAAGGGTGGCGATGCCTTGTCCTGCTGCAGCAAGAGGAGCTGCGTGGCCTTGGCATCTCTGTCCAGCACCTCCACGGGAGAGATCTCTGGCTCCAGACCGGCAGGGCTGAAGGAGGACGAGGGCAAGGGCGACGAGAGCCACTTCTGTGGGAAGAAAGGAAGGTGAAGGGAGTCTCCTCTGCCTCCTTCTTCCTCCATCTCAACAGCTCTAGCTCCTCCTTCCTCCGCAGCCGGCCCAGGTGCCCCTGACAGGACCCCACAACCCCACCAGCTTGGGGGACCCTGGGACAGGCCAGGTTTCTCACCCACATGCTAGGGTAGAGTCCCTCTTGGTCAGCCCCAACCCCCTCCTGGGACCTTATCAGGATGCCCCTCTTCTCCAGGCCCTGGGCAAGAACCCAGCCCTAGCTGACCCCATGGACATCCTTCCCCAAGATGCCCTGGGCCCACAAAGTCAGGGCTTCAAACTGAAGAGGTCTAGGACACACCCAGTCCAGCCTGGACCAGTTGCAGTGAGGAGTCCTTCCTGCCGTGCTTCTAGCCTTCAGGCAGCCACAGCTTGCTTGAACACCCTTACAGCTAGGGACGTCGCCTAGGTCTTGGGAGTTTTTCAAAACTTCCAGAAGGACCCTGATCAGTCCTTAACAGCTGGGGTCCTGCATGGCTCTCCTGCCCTCAGCACTGTTCCTGACCTCCTGCTCCCACCACAACCCCTCCCAGTCCTGGGCCCCCATGTCCTCCTTGCCTCTAGAAACTTCCAGGCTGAGGCAGGCAGGGTGTTACTACCACATGGACTGCTTTTTTTTTTTTTTTTTTTTTTACAATGAATCCGTGTCTGGTGACTGTAGGTTACTAAAGGACCTGTCACTGTCTATGTCACGTGCAGTCTGCCCAGGAATTCCATGCAAGGCAGAATGAGCAGACAGGAATTCCTGCCAGGTCCCCGAGTGCTTGCTCTGTGCCAGGCAGCATTCACAGAGCTACACACACGGTAGCACAATCTGCTCCATTTTACTAGTGGGGACACTGAGGCACATAGAGGTTCTATAACTTGCCCAGGGTCATATAGCCAGAAATGACAGAGCTGGAATTAGAATCCAGGCTGTGTGACTCAGGTAGAAGAAGCCACTTGGTCCAAGTACCTCCATTCCAGAGCAAGGACAGCACCACACACCTTGGGGGGGACGGCTCACTTTAGCACTGTCTCCTCTCACTGAGGGCAAAGTCACTGCTACTGATCCACATCTTCACCCCAGTGCCACCCCCTGACCGCCCACCGGCTGCCCCTTGCTCCCCATCTTTGGTTCCTACCTGAACGTCTCCTCCATGCTGGGGAAAGAACTCGGAAGGGTCTGGAATGTGACACTTTAGAACTTTCTTCAACCTGGCCAGAGAAGATGGAGGAGAGATGAAGGGTGAGAATAGGGGGACATGGTGACCTGCCATCAGCCTCACAGCCCTGAGGGCAGAGCATTGGGCCAGTCCATGTCCACCCACTTATTCAGCAATGTTGATTTAGCACTGTGGGAGGGTACTCTGCTAGGTGTTGGGGACAAGAAATGGCCAGAAGAAAAGGTCCTGCTCTCTAGGAGCTGACAGGAGAGACTCAAGCCAAGTGGGAAATCTGACCATTCTGTGGGTACAGAGCAGAAAACCGCTCAGAAGGACATAGCGATCAGGTGTGAGAGGTCACACAGACCTAATTGTCAGGGCTGGCGATGGCTGGAACAGAGAGAGCTATGAAAAGGGAGGTAAGAGAAAGGCCTCCTATCAGGGCTGCCATGGATGGTGGTCCAGGTTGGGCACTGCCCAAGAGCATCTGGCTTAGTGGGGACAATGAGTGAGGGCTGAATGCCAACCCATGTTCTGCTTGCCAAGATGAGTGCCCAGGACCTGTAATGCATCTGCTTGGAGAAAGGACACTTTTTTTTTTTTTTCCCCAGATTTGCACAAAGGTTCCAAATGCTGTTGGAGATCCTCCAGGGTCAGGAGGTATTCAGGTGTTGTGGGAAGTCTCGGGAGAGTTAGACAGGAACACCGCACAGTTGGGGATGGATTAAAGGGGAATAAAAATGGCAGGGGGGAGGGCAGTTGGGGGCTTCTGCAGTCTGAGGTGAGGGAATCCCTGCCCCACTGGGAACCCACACATTCACAGGAAGATGGCCTCGCCCAAAGGCCCCATGGAGTGTGGGGGAGTGGTAGGTAGAGGGCTGTGTAGCGATACGTAGAACCCCCACCCAGCCTCACTCTAATTGGCGGGTCAGCTGACTTCTCTGGCCCCTCCTGACATCAGTTAACAGGGAATGGAGCCCCGGCCTCAGTGCCTTCCCAGCGACATGGAGAGTCACAGGAGGTGACACAGGCAGAGACACTTTGCAAACTGTAAACACTGCTGGGAGAAGTAGTGCTCTCCGCAGGAATCAGGGTCCCTGGGGTCGAATGTCAGCCCTCCCTTCTCTGTCCTCCAGCAGGTCATCTTTCACACAGCAGTCAGAGCCACTAAAGCTGATCCCATCCCTCCTAGCATACAGCCCCACATCCTCACCACGGCCTTGAAGGTCTCACAGAGACCAACTTCTGCCTGTGACTCCATACTCAGGGTCAGCTTTCTCCCCGCCCCCTCTGGCCTCCAGCTGCACCAGCCTCTGGAGGGCTCTCCCTCCTTCCTCCCCAGGGCCTTTGCACATACCGCTTCCTCTGCCTGGGATGCTCTCCTCAGCCCTTCCTCCACCAACTGCAAGCTCCATGGAGCTTGTCATTGTGTTCCCCACACCTCGTGCTGTACCCAGCATGGAGCCAATAAAAGAATGAACGGATGTGCAGACCTGGGTCGGCCCAGAAGGACTCAGGCAGCTGCAGTGCACACAACTTCCCACGTCCTGAGAGCAGTGCTTGGCAGGGTACAAGGGTGGTTTCCTGAATAACTGCCTCCCAAGCTTACACTTTGGGGGTGGGCTGTGGGACAAACCAGATGTTGGGGGGAGACTCTGGGGAGCACAGAGGCAGGGCAGATGTGTGGGAGCAGGGACCTAGCCTAGATCCCAACTTGCAAGGAGTGTGTGAGTGTGTGACTGTGTGTGTGTGTGTTTTAGGTGGGGGTGGGAAAGAAGGGGAGGGAACTTTCTTACCAGGGCCCAATGTGCCTGAATTTGGCCAAGAAGTAGACGGAGATCAAAAAGCTGACAACAACGCCAAGGCCCAGGGTGAAGTGGCCGAACCAAGGCAGCTCCGGGACCTTCCCAGGGTCTGCCAAGGGTGGGAGAAGCCAGGAGAGGGTGAGAGACATGACCCCTCCCAGTCGCCCGGGTCCCTGGGGTCACACCCTGCTGCGTACCAGCATCTTGCCAGACTTGCTTGTGCTGGGGTTTGGGTTGGAGTCCCTGTGGACTCCTGTGACAGACCTGCTGTACCCCTGGAAGAAGGGCAGCACTGCTCTGCCTCATGATGCCCATTCCGTAGACAAGGCCAAGGTAAAAGCGGCCGCCCTGGCCTGGCAGGAGCCAGGGGTTTCAGGGTGGAGAGAGTAAAAGCCTGTTTGGCCACCCCACTGACTCACAGGCACCCCCTCAGTGACCCCAGCTACAGGGGCACATCAGGGGGGCCGACAGGGCAGATGAGGGTGGATGAGCTGAATCCTGTACCCCATCCTGCAGTGGCTCCTCAAGCCCCCTTCCTGAGCCCCCCTTGCTGCCCACCAGTACCTGCAGGCCTGGTCCTGAAGGCCAGTGGCTGACTCCAGGTGCTCCAGACGCTGTGGTCGCCTCTTTGGGGCCTGACCCGCACCTGAAGCTCATATGGGGTGTTGGGGTCGAGCATCTCCAACTGGATCCACTGCTGTCTCTGTTTTAGGCTCAGCACGGGGGCCTCCTGGGGCAAAGATGGGGCATGAGCACCCAGAGGTACCTACTGCCTACCACGCCCTCCATGACCAGGCCAGGAGACAGGGAGACAGAGCAAGCCGTTCCCTCCCCATTCCCAGCTGCCCCATCTCCCTAGCTACACAGCTGTGGGGCCCCTACCCCTTCCCAAACTGTCCGCATACTCTAAGCTGCCTGCCAGTCAGCTGGTTCCTCTCTGGGACTATTCTGGCCTGGCTGGGACCCCTGCGGCCTCCACTAGACCAGGCAACACCTGGGGGCCAAGCAGCCTGCCCTGGTCACTCCAATACTTTATCCCAGCCAGGCTCAGAATGCACTGACCACTGTCTGTTTGGTCTCCTGTGGGCAGATCTGCCCCCGTGTGAGTTCCCTGACAGTAGGAAGCTCGCCAGTCTCACCTTCCACACCCTCCCCACTATCCAGCACATAGTAGGTACTCAGTAAATGTGTGATGAGTGAGCAATCCAGAAAAGAAAGGAATGAGTGAATAAATGAATAAGCCACAGCCCTCTGGGGACAGGAGGGCGCTGGATTTGAAGTGTGGAAAGGTGGTTTCCAGTCCTTGGATATCTCACACCAGGCAGCTGCTGCCTCCCGGCTTCTTGCCCTGGGGTCTGCCTGGTGCCTGCCACCACATGCAACCCCAGCTATAGGGACATGGCAGGTGAGCTGGGATGGCTCAGCCACCACTGGCTGCCTGGGCTGAGGGGACTCACTGAGATGGAGGACAAACAGCTAGCAGATAGCCTGTGGATTACACCAGGACTGGAAGGAGGAGTTGGGGGCCGGTAGGCTGGGCCGCCCCCTTACCTCCCAGCTGTGGCCTGGGGACCTTTTCCGGACCTCAAACTCCAAGTCTCGGTCAATGTAGTGTGAGATCTGCGAGACGTGCCAGGTGATGTTGCATCGGTGACTCTCCACGTGGCTCACTTGCAGGGAGGTGGGCGTCTGCAGGCGGACTGGTGACAGGAGAGAGGAGGGACAGCGGCTAGGCGCCGCTGGATCATGAGGTTGAAAGGATCAACCCAGCCTCCACACACCTGTCCCCTGCCCCACCCCGACCCGTGCACCTGCTGCCCTCCTCCTGGTGCTCTGCCCTCTCCACACCAGCTTAAATGCCACCACCCAGGGTAGCTTCCCTGGCTGTGCTCAACCGCCTCCTCCCCTCACCTGCTTGGTTTTTCTTCCTCGCAGGTGACACCTGATAGACTAAACACTGGGTTCTCTCTTCCTCTCTGGTGCTCCTGGGAGCACAGCTGAGAACAGGGGGGTTGATGCCTGCTGAGTCTTAATGCCTGGGACATCACCTGGCGTTGGTGGACCCTCTCTGCTCCAGTGGCTCAGGGCTGCCTTGCTCTCCCCCAAGGGTTTTACGTGGCTCCCCCATGTCACAGTATTTTATTTATGGATTTGTTTATACTTCTATATATTTTCACTTATTGAAATATATCTGTTTTTATAGTTTAACATATCTATTGTCTCCGTTTTTAGTTGATATCATCATGATGATTATATTTTTGTGGTGCCGGGGGTGGAACCCAGGGCCTTGAACATGCAAGGCAAGTACTCCACCACTGAGCTGCAGCCCAGTCTTCAGGTATTTTAAACGCTGTGAGTGTAACTTTAAAGTTATGACTCTGACGCTAAATTGAACTGAGACTGTACACAGATAATAACCACCAAATATTTACCAAGTATTGACTGCATAGTAAGCAGTTACTGTGCCATAGTTTAGACTCCTTACAACAGCCCCCGGGACTCGAATTATCTCCATTTTACAAATGGAGCCTCAGACACGCTCAGTGGTCTCCAGTCAGATCACATCCCGTGAAGGCAGGGCTCAGATTTGCACCCTGCCTGGATATCACCCTCTACTTCACCTATTCCCTGGAGGTGGCCCCAAGGTCGGGGGGACAGTCAGTCATTCAACAACCTTTTCCTGATCAGGTCTGGTACTGGGTACTCAGAAAGGAGTATGAGGGCAGAGCTGGTATGACAGAGGCTCTGCCCTCAAAGCCCAGTGAAGGAGACAGGCCTACAATCAGCCAGTGACAACCCAGAACGTAGATTTGGCAGAAGGAAGATGAAGGACTGGGGTCATCGGGGAAGGCCTCCTGGAGGAGGTGACTCTTCACTGAGCCTTGAAGCGTGAGCAGGAATCTTCCAGGTGGGAAGAGCCTTTCAGGCATGGGGACCAGCATGTGCAAGCGCTCAGAGGCATGGGTGGGCATGTTGGGTTTAGAGAGTGACCTTTGTGGCAGAAGTAGCCACAGCACGGGGGGGAGGGCTAGAATAAAAGGCCAGGGCCAGATCTGCTGGGCTCTGAAGTTCACCCCAGGGCAGCAGGAAGGGAGCTGCCAGGTGTGGGAATGGAAGCTGACGGGGACAAACATGGGGCAGGGAGAATGCCAGAGTGCAAGACAGGGAAGGAGATGCCACCCAGCCCAGTGGCACCCCAGGCTCCTCACTCACGGTTTTCAAAAGGCCTGAAGTCCTGTGTCACCACCATCCGCCATCGCTCCCCTTCCCAGCACATCACGCTTATGTTGACGAGGTCAGCTGAGGTCAGCTTCTGGGACTGCAAGACAGGAAGAGCAGGGATGTAGGTGCCAGCAGCAGTTGGGGGAAACACATTGGGGATGACAAGGAGAGGGCAGAACCCTCCATGTGCCCTGACGTCTCAGGCAGGGGGCGGCAAGCATTGCCTATCATGAGCCTGGTTGAGAACATTTTTGGCTTTGTAGGCCACATGGTCTCTGTCACAACTCAACTCTTCCATTATCATGCAAAGTGTCCACAGACAATATGTGAACGGATGTCAGGGCCGTGTTCCAATAAAATCTAATTTACAAACACAGGCAGCAGCTGGCTTTGGCCCATGGCCTACAGTCATTTCCCAACTCCCGCTGTGGGTTGTCTTGGGGAAGGAAGGGCTTCCCCATCACAAGAGGTATGCAAACAGGTAAACCCAAACAGTGGAACCACACCTGTGCAATAGCTTCAAATGCAAAGGGCTCCCCCCTCCATCCCTCCCCAGCCCAACCCCTGAGGTTTCTGAAAGGAAATGACCAGGCACTGAGTGTTTCCGGGGCAGCCCCTTGCAGCTCACTGATGCACACACAAGCGCTTCCCTGGGCTGCACTGCACTGTGGGAGAACCCTGAGGCCAGGGCTGGCCCCAGACCGGTCAGCAGGGAACCCAGGTTCACATGAGGTCCCTGTGTCTCCACAGCCCCTTGAAGTGACCACAGTTCTGAGGACTGGCCAGCCTCCTGACCAAGGGCTGCTGAGTGAGCTGTGAGGGGTCCACCCACAAGCCCATGTGGGTGGCCGCCTGCAGCTCTGCAGGAGGAAGCTCTGGCCAGACCCTCACAGGGGCTGTGCTTAGGGCCCCACGGGAGCACGGGAGTGGTTTGGGGTCCAAGCTTCTAGTCCCAGCCCCAGTGACCTTCGCAAACCCATCTGAGCAAACCTTGAACCCGATCCTCAGAGTTCCCAAGCTGGTCAGCCAGGAAACACTTCTTCCTCTGCCCCAGAGGACCCTGTCCTCCCCTTCTTACAGCTGCTAAAGGGCCAGATTTGCCTAGGTGATGGTAACAGGACCGTGCCTATTATTGATATTGACATTATTAGCATTGTAAAGATATCACCAATAATGCACTCTGATAGCACTTACTCTGTGCCAGGCACTTTGCATACATTTCATTCCCTCATCACCCTCTCAGGTGGGCATTACTACCGTTCCCACCCTATAGCTGAAGACACTGAAGCACAGAGAGGCTTAAGAACTTGCCCGAGGGCACACAGCCAGGCAATGGTGGAGCAAAGATGGAAGCCAGGCCCCTGCCGAGCTCTCAGGATAGCACAGTTCCTGAGACTGGACCTTCACCAGCTGCACCGCGTGACCCGGCCTCCCATCTCCTGACACTTGAAAATCCACAAGTCTGACAATGGCTGGAAAGTGTGACCCCGGGGCCTGCCACTGTCCAGGAGGGTTGCAGAGAACGCTCTGACATATACCCATACAGACGCAGTTGGGGGCCCTGTAAGGGGCATCCTGGTGTGTCAGAAACCCGACTGTGGGCCCAGAGGCCTAGGTCCACTCCCAGCTTGGCTACTCCCTGCTGTGTGATCTTGAGCAAGTACCACACCTCTCCAAGCCTCTGTTTCTTCATCGGTAATGAGGGCACAGTTCGGGTAGATTGATGACAGTCAGCACGTGCTCTGTTAGGACCCCGTTCTGAGTGCTTTACCCCGCAATCACCCTCCAAGGCAGCTGCCATTGTCATTCCTACTTTATGGAAGGGGAAACTGAGGCACCAAAGTCACCCAAGGTCATCTAGCTGGTGTGAAGTGAAGCCAAGGCCCAGACATCCTGCTAAGAATGTCCACTCCTCCCCCACCCTCCCTGCCCACCAAGGCTTCTGGGAGGAGTCTGGTGTGGTTGGGGTTGTTACTAGCGCACTGACCCCACTTGGTAAGGAACCCAAAAGTGTGGCAGGACCCACAGAGGAAGGGGGACAGCCCCAGTAGGGTCTCTGACCTGAGTCCTGTGTGTGCCACCCTCCCTCCTGCCCCTCAGCCCAGGCGGCCTGCTCAGTGCAGCCCCTGGCCATGGCTTGCTGGGTTGGGTCCACCTTGACTTACAGCTCCCCACCCCTCCTGGCCTGGCTGTACTCACGTTTGGGGATCCGAGGATCAGGTTGCAGGCCCAGGACGCCTGAGTCACCGGGAGCAGCTCACAGGTTAGGTTCCAGGGCCTTTCAGAGCAAAACAGCCTCCTCAGAAAAACAGGAAAGACCCACAGGGCTGCCTCAGGGCCTTGTGAACCCGGCCAGGTGGGGAGAGGGCTCTGTGCCAACTGTGCCAATCAGGCAAGGGACACCAGTGTCCCCATACTCCTCAGTCGTCCTCCCTCTCCTCCCCTTGAGGGCACCCTCCCCACCCTCCACATCCAGCCTGTCCCCCAGCAACCACAGAGATCTAGACACGTGAACCGGTTCAGGACGTCCCCAGCTAGAGAGCCCGTGGGGCTTGGGGTGAACATGGGTCTTTAATTTGGCCTAAGAGCCCTGTGGAATCACTACCCACCAGAGCCAGGGCACAAAGTCACCTTCGCCCCTCCCTCTCCATCTCTGCTCCCCTAACCCCACACCTAACTTCCATAGCCCCACCTGCCTGGAGTCAGACCCCCATCTACCTACTACCTGCATGTCTGGATCACAGAGACCCCTTCACCAACACCCTCCTCAACCCCAGACCCCCTAGCCTTTCCCTGTCCTTGTCACCATAGAACAGCACCAGCCCAGTTAATGGTCTCTGTCCCACAGCTGGCCAAGGGATCTCTTGAAATCCCAGGTAACTCAAGAAGCTTGAAAAACTCCCTTGACTCCCCCACCCCACTGCCTCCAAAGTGGAGTCCAGCCTTGGTATAGCAGTCTCAGAGCCCAGTGTCCCCCAACACTCCGTCCAGCTCATCTTCAGCCCCTCAGCAGAAGTGGGAACCACCCAGGTCCCAGGGGCCTAAACGGCCAGCTGACTGGTGCCTGGTCCCAACTCATGTGATGCTGGGAGCTGGGTCCCCTCAGCCCACCCTGGAAGCACAGGATTCTTGAGTAATATTCAGGATCGGTGGTCACAGGATCCCTCTTGATGACAGGCTCTCCAAGTGGTCCACAGCCACACTCACCGGCTGTTCGACTGGGCGTGGATGTGGCAGGCTGTGGCCTGCAGACCCCCCTCCAGGCTCCACACACAGGAGATGTTGGCTCTTGAGTTGTAGAAGCAGGAGAGCTGGGAAGGGTCTGCAGACAAGATGGGGTGTGAGTGGCTGGGTGTCAGGTGCTCGTGGCCGCCAGGCACAGCCAACACCCTGCGCCTGGCACCCTGGTAGGCAGCGAAGGGATTTGGGCCCGTTTCGGAGAGAAGGAAACTGAGCCCTAGAGCATGCTGGGCCCCATGGGCAGGAATGAGGAGAAGCATCTTCTCATAGTTGGGAGAGGCACAAGCATACAGCAGAGGACAAGGTAAAGAGCCAGCAGGGAGGTGAATAACTGTTCTCTGGTCCCATTCTTCCACCCCTCCTCCTCTGTCCCCTGCAGTTGCTGCTGGACTTTTCCAGGAAGTAGGGGACAAGAAAGGCTCTAGCAGGTCACAGACTCTTCCCCAGGGAAAGCACAGCTGTCCAGAGGCCAGGTCCTCACCTTTCACAGCCATGGATGCCAGGGGTAGGAGGAGGATGAGCAGGGCCAGACACCAGGACAAAGACGGGGCTGCCATCACAGCCACAGGTTAGAGCGGGAGAAGAAAGCCCTGGGTGGAGAAGGAGGCCAGAGAGCAAAGTGAACACCCTCCCCTCAAGGTGCATTCCTCTGCTCTCTACCTAGCCAATGCAATCCAACCTCAGGGCCTTTGCATCTCCCTCCGCCCCATACATGCGCACTTCCTTCCTCCATGTCTCTGCTCAGATGCACGATCCCTAAAGAGGCCTTCCCTGAGCAGCCTGTATAGAAAAGCACCCTTCCCGACTCACACCCCCAAACTGTACTTCTGTTTGCATCACACATTGCTTGTTTGTTTATTTAGTAGTAAACAAATTTCTATCCTTTGAAGCATATGTCCCAAGACCCCCGGGCAGACCTAAAACTGTGGACAGCACCAAACACCTGTACATACTGTTTTTTCCTGTGCATAATACCTAAAACAAAGTTTAATTTGCAAACAAGGCACAGCCAGAGATTAACAGTGGCTTCAGTTATAACAGTATAGTGCAATAAACACATGCAGATGTGGTCTCTGTCTCTTGTAATATCGCTGTACTCCCCTACGGTGACGTGGTGAGGCCACATAGGCATTGGGACATTGTGTTAGGCTACTGTGTAACTAATGGGCGGGTAGTGTACACCTCATGGACACGCTGGACCAGGAGATGATTCAGGACCAGGCACTACTTAGAAGAGTGCTCAATTTAAAACCTTTTAATTGTTCCTCTGGAATTTTCTGTTTAATTTTTTTTCCAGCCATGTCTGACCACTGGTAACTGAGGCTATGGGAATCAGGTCAGCAAATGAGGAGGCCTATTTATTTCTTTTCTCTCTTCACACATGCACCCACGCACACGTGCACACACACGCAGAGTCACACATGCTCTGTGAGAAAGGGATACTTGTGTTTCCTTCATTACCAGGTGCCCAGTTCCTAAAACAGTACCTGGCACATACTAGGCCGCTGGCAAAGTAAAACCCAAGACACCGAATGAGTGAAGAACAGAATGAAGTCCACCGCAGGGACTCCAGGGGACTCCTGGCTACTCTGCCCTCCGCCCTTCGTGGAAGGAATGGAAGAAAAGATTGAAGACAGCAGATATGCTCTTAGAAAAGCCTCAGGGCACACCAGGGCTCTGACCTCCAGCACTGAAGAGGCTGGAGGACAAGGATGGCCCTGCACTGTGTGGCTCTGGGAGCAGGAGAGGATGTTTCTGGAAGGTGAGTTTTGCTCTTCCAGAAAGTTGCCTCGTAGGAAAGAGGATGGAGCCAGACAGCTCTCTGGAGTCCAGCCTTGGCCAGCCTCACCCCTCCAGGATGGACCCCCACTGGATGGGAGCTGGCTGGGGCAGGAGGGTCGCCCCCTCCCTGCCAGGAGACAAGCCACCAGGGGGCAAGAAGGACAGGCAGATCCCAGTCATACCCAGATTCAGATTCACACCCTGTTCACAGCTGGGAGTTCCTAAAGCTCAGCTTTGAAAGGACCGACAGGGCCTCAGGTGAATAAAGAAGCAGCGATGTTTAGCTCTGAAAAGGGAAAGCATGATGAAAATATCATGATAAAAATAATATCTAATGCCTGCAGACTCTGCTGAGCATTTTATTTTGGTGGTACTGGAGTTTGAACTCAGGACCCTGCACTTGCTAGACAGGCACTGCACCTCTCGAGCCAAGCCCCCAGACGTTCTTGCTTTAGTTATTTTTCAGATAGTCTCCCTTTCACCCAGGGCCAGCCTGAGAGCACAATACTCCTTCCTGTATCTCCTGCATAGCTGAGATTACAGATATGAGCCACTATGTCCGGTTTGTTTGTTGAGATGGGGGTCTTGTTAACTTTTTCCTGGAGCTGACCTTGAACTTGTGTCCTCCTATCTCTGCCTCCTGAGTAGCTGGTGCCCAGGACTCTGTTTGACTGTTTTTCACTTTATTCATTTACTCCTCACTATACCTTAGGGGTAGGTGGTGCCCACCTTTTTTTCTGCCCTCTTTGTAGATGAGGGATCTGAGGCACAGGAACTGAGTTGTTGGAAACTTCCGAGGACCTAACCATGCTCCTACTCCCCTGCCTGCCCAGAAGCTCCTGCGGGCAGCTGGGGAACCCACCAGGCATTGTCCGGTAGGAGGAAACATGGAGTCCCTACCCTATCCCTCCTGTGGAGGCCCGGAAGGTGTCTCTGAGTAGCCACGAAACATGGCCCTGGCTGGTGCTTTTAGAGACATCAGCTCAGCTCATGGTCCTTGTCCCTAGCTCTCCAGCTCTGCACCCAGGAGTGTCTACTGCCAAAGGCACCTTCCCTCTGTCCTCCTTCTGGGGGCTTCAAAGGAGGCCCCCTCCTCTCCAGGCCCCTGTGTTTATGGCCCTGTACTAAGTGACTAATCCACGTCAAGGACACTCAGGGCCTGCCCTGACCATGACCTGGGGTAGGGAGACATCAGCAGGGGTTAGATGGGGAAGGGAGTGAGAAAAGGGAGCAAAGGTCACTCTGGGAAACAAAGGGACCATTGTAAGGAGACTGTGCAGGACCAGGGAAAGTCCAGCTCTCCCACTCGCCCCCAATCTGACTAGGGGTCTTGGACAGTCGTACCTCCTTGTCCCAATGTCTTAGTCCTGAGCCAGCCAGGAAGCCCCATAGACAGGAAAGCCCCGTGTCCCTCCAGCCTGGACTGTGGCATGGCCTCAGCAGCATAGCCCTGATCTCAGCAAAGCCACTGGGCTTTGTTTCTAATCACCACCTCCCAGTCCAGAACCTGGCAGGGGTCCCTCAATTGGTGCACGTGGGCGTTAGTAAGCACTCCCACACCCCACTTGTCTACCTGCCTACACAAGCCAGCCACTCTGGGTGTCCTCTAAATGTCCTTTCCAAGTCTATCTTCTCCCCAGTGTCCCCCATCACTCCTGCCATCTTGCAAGGACCATTTTAAATGCCTTTTGTCCTTGTTCTAAGGAGTCCTCCCTGATTTTCCCCACGGAGGGCGAGGTCATCCTGCTCTCAGCCCCTCAGGCTGCCCACTCTGCAGACTACTAAACCTCAGCGAGTGCCCAATGAATGCCCTGCCCTCTGCAGTCAGAGGTCTCCAGTGCAACAAAAGCAAGCAGGAGCAGGGTTGTCTGGGGTGCCCCCACCCTGCTCACCACCCCAAAACTCACTCGCTTAGCACAGACTAAATATGCCCACTTCCAACTCAGTGCAGCCCTGAGCTCGTCCATCAGAAATGCTCTTATCATGCCCACTCCCACATGAGGAAACTGAGGCACAAAGAGGTCGTATGCATTGCCCAAGGTCACACCACTGATAAGAAAGATAGAGACCCAGGCCAGGCAGGAAACACCCCCCATCTCCCATCCCTGCCACCACAAGTCCTCAGGTGACCCTCCCCTGCACAGTGCATAGGGTGATGAATAGTCCTGATGACCTTATGACAATACTGGCCATGTGTGCCAGCCTCCCTCTCCATGCCAGGCCCTGGGCCAAGCCCTTCGTGAACAGTAGCCCCTTTCCTCTGCCCAGCAGCTCGGGGCAGCTGCTCTGAATATCCCCACCATGAAGAGGAGACCGAGGTTCAGGTCATTAACTTGCCCAAGTTCTGTACACAGAACTGGGACACCCAGCCACAGCTCCACCCTGAGGCCAACAGCCTTCCTGCCTTGGGGAGTCAGGATCCACCAGGGCATGGCTGGCCAAAAGACACTTGTCTTGGGGACAAAAGTTGCCCAGAGAGGTCCTTATGGACCTTGCCTAGTCCACTATACCCAGCTCCCAGAGAAGGGCTCATTCTTTGGATCTCCCAACAGTACAAGAACCCCAAAGAGTGCAGAGATCAACCAAGAACCCCCACAGGCCTTCCACACTCAATCACTTTGCCTTTCTCTGAAGCTATGGCACTGTGGATACTGGTGAAGGGCTGCCCAGGTCAGGCCTGGCCATCGAGGTCATCCAGGAGGGACCTGGGACAGAACTCCAGGGGAGAAGAAAGGAGTAAAAGGGTGGAAGATCACAGGAAGGTGATCAAACAATCAATAGGCCCAAGCAAACAATAGGCCCAAGCAAACAATAGGCCCAAGCAAACAATAGGCCCAAGCAAAGAGTGCACTGGGCTGGAGGAGAAAGCGCCAGGAGTCTTCCCGAACCTCTGGCTGAAGGGGCACAGAAAGGCACACCGAGAGGAGAGCATGGAAGTTTCCAGAGGAGGTCAGGGCTAGGAGAGCTCCTGGCAGTCATGGAGGCTGTGCCCACCTGCTGTAAAGAAGAAACTGAGTCTCAGGGAGGCTAAGGAAGCTACTCAGAGCCACAAATGAGAGAGGCCAGCTGGTGGGGGATGGAAGCAGGCAGAGCCCAGGTCCTCTTGAGATCTCACCCACACTGGCACGCCTGTCCTTTCCGACTACAAGATGGACAACTCACTGACTCATAGGTCCCCACTACAGCTTCGATGGGGACTGTCATCCCCACATTGTGACAGCTCAAACCAGGTCACCTGATTTCCAGGGAGATGATGGAGGGGGGGGTGCCAGCAATGACTTCTTCCTGTTCTCTCTGTCCGCCACCGTGCTAGAACTTAGGGATGTCATAGCATCCTTAGAGCAGGTTCTGTGATACCGCCCTTTCCACATGGGGACACTAACACACAGGCCATCCTCCTGCCCAGGCTAGAAGAGCAGGGGACTTGAATCCATTGAACCTAGCCAGGGGCAGTCTGAGCCCCACAGGTCTGTATGGCTCACTGTGAATTAGGGCAGAACAATAAATGGAGTTGGGTGACTAAAAATGTGACCCACCCAGCCTCTGAACTCACAAACCCCTCCCGTTGGCCCTCTCTGACCACACACACACACACACACACACACACACACACACACACACACACACACACGGTTTGCCACAGGGCATCTCCTACCAGGGATCTTGGCTGTAGGGTAAGCCTCCCTACTCTAGCCATAAGGTACTGTGAGCACAGCTAAGGATGGAAGTTTCCAGTCCCAGGAGGGAGGGGAAAAGGCTGAGACACAAGCAGCCTGAAGATGAAGTCCCTATCCCGGTGTCTGGGTGTCCTGTGACCTGTCTAGTCACATAACCAAGTAAGGGATAAATCTAAGTTTGAGCCCAGGTCTCTGGCCTCCTGCTCAGGACTCCTAGAGACATGTCAGCACACCCACTTCATAGCCAGGTCTCAGAGGGTCCTCCCTCTCTCCTGCCTTTCCTACAGCCCACTGAGAAGCACTCCACAGAGAGAGGAGGCAGCTCTTACCTCTTCCATCCCACTGCTCGCACCCATTGAGCACCTGGTCCAGCCACCCGCCTCCTTCTCTACCCTTTGGGTTAGGGGCCCAGCCCATAGGAACTAAGAAAGCCCCCGTCTTCCCCCAGGGTGGGCTAGGAAGGAGAGGGACCTGGCACCAGAACCAGTTTGTTCTCAAGGCAGGGCTTACCCCATCCCCCAGGGGAGCCTGAGATAAGACTGGGAAATTGAAGGTCAAGCAGAACCTGCTGGGAACCTGAGTCAGAGCTGACAGTCTCCCCAGTGGCCTTCATTCCCAGCCACCCTGGATGATCTGCAGGGGTGGCAAGGAGCCCCCGGGGGTCCCCAGGAGGCCAGGCAGGGTCAGGGGCTGGGAAGGGGCATCACCTGGATGAGGCATGGGAGTGTGACTTCGAGCTCCCTCTGGTCCTCTCTGCTGCCAGGTCCACGGCCATCTCCGCTCGGCAGCCCAGGTAGCAGACAGCTGCTGGGGCCAGCAAAGACTGAAACCCCAGGGCGAGCCCACTTCCTGTGCAGAGGACGAGGGGCAAGGCCGGGGTGGGAGGCGGGGAGATGAGGATGGTGAGGAAGCTTGAAACTCCTTCACCTAGGCCTGATAACATCTCCCTCCCACGCTGGGGGGCAGCCGCGGGGGCGTGGCACTCTCACCCACACACAGCCACTCTCACAAAGGGCCTAGCTAAACAGAAGCCCAGGGAGTCAGGCCCTTCCTCCCTAATCCACCCTCACCCCATCTCACAGGCCATCCAACCTCATCTGTCATCCGGTCACACACACACACACACACCCTCTAACCCCCAAACCTCACACAAACACATCCCTCCAGGAGTCCCCTGCAGCCCCACCCCATCCTAGTCTGTGACACACCCATCTCTCAAAGACCTCCCTTTTTCATCCAGGCTTCCAGGAAGCCCCCCCACCCAGTTCAACCTCCAGGCCCTGGTGAGCAATTTGGTGGCCACTTTTCTCTTCATCTCAGGTCATCATTCCTAATCCTTTCTTTGACCTCTTTTTTGGGGGATGGGGTGCTCTGCTCACAGCTTTTCTTTTTAGTGATCAAAAGTTGTGGACTCCTCTTCAGAAAAAAGCATGTTGCCAGCACTGGTAGCTCACACCTGTAATCCTAGCTACTCAGGAGACAGAGATCAAGGAGATCGTGGTTTGAAGCCAGTCCCGGCAAATAATTCGTGACACCCGATCTTGAAAAAAACCCTTGAGCATGGCTCAAATGGTAGAGTACCTGCCGAGCAAATATGAGGCTCTGAGCTCAATCCTCAGTACCACCCATTGCCCTCTGCCATGTAATGACGAAGCACCAAGTCCCTTATTGGACACTGGTGCTGTACTCTTGGACCTCCCAGCCTCCAGAACCATGATCTAAGCTTCTACTCGCTATAAATTACCCTGCCTGTTGTATTCCGTTACAGCGACCGAAGGTGGCCGAAGGCTCTTCCCTACCCCACTTCCATCCTCCCCAGAAGATTTTCCAGCTGCAGGAGAGGGTGATAAATGCAACAACCAAAGCAAGGAGATTGACAGCCAACGTTTATTAAGAATAGAATGTTTCTGGAAGTTTCTCAGGAAGCCAGGATGTCTGGCTCTCCCAGGAGGAAGCCTCCTTTGCTTTGCACACATTTTGAACTTGAACTAATTTTCTCCATCCAGATAAATGGATTCAGTTAAAACTCTAAAAATACATATAAAGAAAGAAAATATGTCCCCTGGCAAAGCCAGAAGTCTCAGGCAGCTTGTAATGAGCGGCACGTTGGCATAGTTTTGTCTATGGGGATGACGTCAGCCTGCCCAGCAGGTAGAATCCAGGCCTCTTCCTGCTCCTTCATCTTTCTTTCCTTCCTTCTTGCATTTAGCCAACACGTACTGAATCCATAATGCCCCAAAGGCCCAGCCAGACATGGAGGAGGCTGAGGTGAGCTCTCCATGAAGGGCCCGCAGAGGGAGCTGGCCTCTCCCCAGCCCTGTACCCTTGGGGTGCCCGGGCATCTGTCCAAGGGTGGCCTCATTTACAGAGGGGAAAGAAAGTGGGGAGGCAGCTCACACACACAGTGTGCCCACCCCAGGCTGGGGCTCCTGTCTTGTCAAAGGCCTAGCCCACGACTCCTCAAGTGGCAAGGTGAGGTGAGCCTCCAACCGAACATAAATATCTGCACAGTCTTTGCACCCTTGACATAGTTCGGGCTGGGGAAGCAGGTAAGAGGGAGGACATAAGGAGGGCATGTGCTATCCACACCCTGACTGAAGCACCCTCCTGAATGCCCACTAGACAACATGTTCCAGCCTTCCCTGCAGGGATATGAGGTCCCCGGACTGAGTGTGGCTAATGGATGTAGGAAAAAGTAACTTGGTCTTCATTCAGGCCTAAAAACTCACCGTTGTCCACTTGCCTCTCTGTCCTTCCTTCCACCCTTTCCCAACTTCTCTCTCTATCCCTCTCTCCCCCATCTCTCTCCTCATCTCTACCCATTTCTTCATATTTCTCTCTCCCTCTTCCCCTCTCTCCATCTCTCCTCTGTGCCATGCCCTTCCAGAGTCCAGTGGACTGAGAAACTCTAGGGGGGAACCCCAAAGGACAGGTCCTCACCCCCACCCTCAGATGGCCCAGCCGGGAGTGTAATGGAGTGAGAAATGAGCTTCACTCACACCAGCCTCTGGGATGCAGGAATTTACCCTGACACTGCAGCTGACCCAGGTGCCAGAGTCAAGCTTAAGGCCTGGGCACCATGCAGGTGCTCTCTGCAGCCTACCTTGTGGGCACTTCTGTCTCACAGGCAGGATTCACAGGCCTAGAGCCCTCCAGAACCTGGAACTGTCTCCCCAAGAACATCAGCTTCTTCCTGAACCACACTAAGAAGGAATCCAGAAGCTTCCTGACAGCAGGGGCCCAACAGAGCCCACCCAGCTTACCAGACCTTTGTCTCCAGACTGCTGGGCTTGGCCAAGCCTCCTTTGATGCCCAAATACTGTCCCTACAGCCACTTCTCCTGTGCCCTTCACACCCCTCTCCTCGCCCCACTGTGTCCTCAGGGACAAACCACCCTATAGACACCCACCACTGTGCCCAGCCCCACCCAAGGACCCCACTTTCATAGGGGCTGTGGACAGTCATGCACAGGGGTCTTCTAGCCCCCACATTCCTTTCTGACAGTGACCTTTCCCCTCGTCCATCACAGTGCTGCCTCCATTTGAGACCAAGTCAGGCTGTGGCTTCCTCAAATCGGCACCTGCAAATGCCCTCTGCAGCTCCCCTGTGCCCTGAAGTCTTAGCTGTGTCTGCAGCATTTCCCTTCACTCCAGCTCCTAGGGACATTAGGATTTGGGTTGCAGCCACCCAGGGGCTTCCATCCCCTCCACAGCAGTGCCCATGCACAGGCCCACTCCTTCACCTTGTCATTCCTGACCTATGCTAACCCAGACCTTGCAAACTGCCTCTCACCCCCTTCAACCCTATGACAGTGTCCCAGTTAGGATCAGTTCCGCTACATGCATCAAAAGAGAACAGGAGAAATCAGTGCACAAGAATAAGAGAGGATTTTATTTCTGTCTCACATAAAAGAAGTCTGTCCAGAGGCAGCAGTCTGGGGCTGGCAGGTGGCTTTCTGAGGTCAGGATCCTGAAATAAATGTACCTTGCTCCTGGGGCATCTTCAGGATCTTCCTTTTACCTCCTCAGAGATCCAGACAGCTGCTCAGTCACCATCCATCACATCATCTTTCCTGCAGCTGGCAGGGGGAGGAAGGAGTGAAGAAGGGCATGTCTCTGGCTATGAAGGATCTTTCCTTGAGGTTGCCTTGGCTACTTCTAACATCCCATTGGCTACACCTGAGTCACATGACAATCCAGCTGCAAAGGAGGCTGGGAGAAGTGCCCAGCTACAAGTAGAGGGCACGTGCCAGGGGAAAACAGGTTTGTGGCACCATTACTGTCTCTGCCACAGCCCAACTTCTACCACCATGGAGACCCCCAGCTCCTCCTATGCCACCCTCTCCTCTGGCCTCACCCTGCCTTGCTCAGTGCAGACAGCATCACTCATCAGCTGATACCGTCACCCACCTCAAGTCCCTGTGTACCACTGCTTGCTCCCTGATATTAAGACATGCCTTTTCCAAGTCAGCAGTCCTGAGCTGGAGAAAGTCCTACCTCCATGGTGCTGGAGCCACTGGTGGTTCCTGACCAGAACAGTAATGTCTTTACATACTGTGATATCTGACTACCAACTCAGTCCCCTGACAACCAATGAGAGTACAAGATAGGAGGGGACATCGGAGGGACCAGAGCAGGAAAAAAAGAACAAGCAATCTACAGGATGGCTACTGGAAGGCTCTGCCAACACCCACTCTTCACTGGGGGCACTCCACCCACCCATGCCCAAGCTGGCAGGTGCCATCCTCGTGGTGCCTTCCTCTCTCACCTCCACTTCCAGGCCATTCCCTCCATCATGTCCACATTGTCCTTGCTGGTCACCAGCTCCAGACCTGAAGTCCTGAGTTCACTATCTGCTTCCTCAACTGCTCCAACACCAGCCCCTAAGCAGCAGGTGGCTCATACAAGCCATGCTGTTCCACGTTGATGGTCATACACGGTTCCTTGCCAGGATTGTTCCTGGATGATGCTACCCAGGCTAAGGACATTAACAGGACACTGAGGACATTACCACCCCACTCATCTCTAGACCAACTTAGTTCCCTGACTGAGACCAACCCCCGCCCCGACCTCCCACCTTGACCAGCTCAGATCAGGGGCACACACTGGTTACTACTTCTCAGATCATGACTTTGTCTCTGCAAACAGGAGCGATGTGTGAACTATCTGGACCACTGCAGAGCCTGGAAAATGACATTCAGATGGTATATATGCAGGGAAGGGAGGAGAAAAAGAAAAGAAAGAAGCAAAGTTTCAGGCTCTCTAAGACCCTGAAGATTCCAGATACGAGGGTGTACCACGCAACAATATTTTGTCGCTGTGGAACCACATCTACCATGGTGGTCCCACAGACGCTCTTGCTTAGTGATCTTGTAGCCGTCTCAGTTTGGGTAAGTGTTTGCTATGATGCTCTCGCACTAAGCAATGCATGACTGCAATGCAAGCTAAAAACAATCCTGGGAATAATAATATATTTGAAGAAGAACTTTGCCACCCAAGGTGGTTTTAAAGGGTGAGCTACCTGCTGGTGTGCACCTAAAGTGGTCCCACCTCTCTAGAAAGCAAGCCAAGGATATGCGTTGCTACCTCTGACATGTGACCAGCCATCCCGTGCCTAACACTCTCCCACAGAGAGACCCCCCAAAGAAGCATGTGTGCAAAGTGATTGTGCACATTGCCAAATGGCAGCCAAAATGCGCGTCCAGAGTAGACTGGTGATAAGTAAATAGAGGACTTCCACCCAGAGCAGTACAGTGTGGGTGTGACAAAACAGGAAGGGGTCTCTATGCCCTGACTTGGTGAGGCAGGCTACCAAAACAA